GAGCATCACCTGGGAGCTTGTCAGAAATGCATACTCTCAGGCCCAGCCCAGAGTCTGCATGTTAACTGAACCAGAATCTGCATGTTAACAAGATCTCCGAGGATTCTTATACACATTATAGCTTGAAAGGCACTGGGTTAAGCAATTATTTACATTGAGAAATCTCTGGGAAGGTTCTCCTATCTTCAAATATTAACTCATCTTAGGTTACACAGTGATCAAAATGTAATCATTAAATATTCTTTGGATTTCTCTTCTTGTAATATTTCTCAAAAGAGTAACAGTAACAATACTATAATTTTACGTGTGTGTTGTTAATTACCATTTCCAAAGCACTTTCATACCTGTGATCTCACTTGATAACTTTGTGGTGGGTAGCCCATTAAACTAATGCACCCTTATCATTCTACCAGTAAATATGAAGGTAGGTCAATATTGTATTGCTTTTGCCTAAGACCATTAAAAAATCAAAGAATACTTTGATGGTAATCATTTTGCAATATATAAATGTATCAAATCAACACATTGTACACCCTAAACTTATACAATATTATGTCAGTTATATATCAATAAAGCTGGGAAAAAACTGCAAGAATAATATATAGGTACAGTGAAATCCAACTAAATGAGTGCAAAATTGACATAAGAGTTTTGAGATAAAAGATAATATAGTGAGGATATATTTCTAAGCGTGAAAATATAGAAGGGTTCATAGAATCCCAGAAAGAATCTTCATCATTGGGTAGATTTAATTATTATATCTAAAATAACATTCATTCTAATTGTTCAAGTGAAAAGAAGTGGCTCTGGAAGCTACATATGTGTTCATTTAAATCAGGTAACAACTTGAGTTAGAATTAGCCTAAGAAAATGCAGATATACAATGCAAAAAGGAGAATAGAAGATCTATTAACTTGGGAACTATAAAAACAGGTTTGTAGATATATCTGGACACTGCTGTAAAGTTTTGTCTGCAGATTAAGAAGGTGACATTGACCCAATAATGTCACTTACTATAATCATCTTTGATTTTATTATACTGTACCTGTAGGAGGAATTTAAGCTTGTAATAGGTGGCCTATTGCATCCTAAAACATTTAGGAGGAACTGAGATAAAGCTATTGTGGATTATGGTGGCTCTAAGTCCAGTCCTAACAATTTTGTAGTTTCCAAATAAAGTTCTCAATGGAATCTTTCTAAATTGAAAATCATTAAATAAAGTGACAGAGACAGGGGTTCTAACTGGGGGGAACTGTTTCCCAAGATGAGCAATGTTAAGCATCTAGTGAAAAGCTAAAACTTTTAGGCTCATTGTCACAGGTGATACGTGGCTGCAAACACAGCTTAAGGTGTAGTCCCTGGCTTAATGGAGTTTGCGATCTAATTAGGAGATAACATATATTTGTGTAACAGATAATTAAAATGCTAGTCAAATGAGTGATACAGACAGTAAATGTTAAATTAGAGAAAGATGGCCAGAAGCCGAGTTGCACTAAGATATGGCAATTAATATCAGATGATCAAGGTTTGAGGCGTGACTCAACCACTTAAGAACTGTAACCCTGTTAGTTGACCGCTCTAAACTCCAGTTTTCCACTCTGTAAAATCAGGATAATTACAATAGCTTTCTCTAGGCTGTGTTAAAGACTAAGTGGTCTTGGGAGGATGCCTGGCCCATATGTTAGCTAAGAAATTCACCTTCCTCATGACTGAAGGACCTGGGGCAGAAAGAGCATTGGGTGTCTGAGGATGGGCTTACTGAAAAGGAGTAGCTAGAAACATAGAGGCCACCAGCTTTGTCCACTTCACCATTTGCTAAAGGTCATCCCTAAAGGGAGACCTGGGTTGTTTCCCTCAAAGGATACAGCTCAGATTTGACGGTACTTCAAGCTTTGTAGAGTACTAAAAGATCTCATTTCATTGCTTACCATCCCCTGACATGCCCAACCTAATCTCTATAATCTAAAGTACCTGTGGATGCCCAAGGCCTAAGCCAGCAGCTTTTTAGGGTTAGAAAGAAGATTGGCATCAGTGAGTTGCAGTGATGAAAGGAAAGGGGACCGGAGAGAACGTGAAGTAGCAGAACCGGTTTCCTTGCTAGCCTCTGCACAGTACTGCCACCTGGTGGTTATTTAATAAACCACAATATCTCTTCCTCCCATAGTCTTGTCCTAAAGTACAGCCTTAGTGTTAACGGAGAGAACGTGGTGATGCACTGTATTCGTTTCTGGTGACTACTGTAACAAATTACTACAAAGATGGTGACAACAGAAATTTATTCTCTCATAGTTCTGGAGGCTAGAAGTCCAAACTCAAGGTGTGGGTGAGGCCATGATCCCTCTAGAAGTTCTAGGGGAGAATCTGTTCTTTGCCTTTTCCAGCTTCTGTTGGTTGCTGGCCGCTGTTCCTGAGCTTGTGGCTGCATCACTCGAATCTCTGCCTGCCTCTTCACATGGTCTTCTCCTGTTCTGTGTGCCTGATCTTCCTTTGCCTCTCTCTTAAAGGGACACTTGTAATGGCATTTAGGGCCCACTTGGAAAATCAAGGATTTTCTCTTCATTTTAAGATGCTTAATTCAATGGACATCTGCAAAGACTCTTTTCCAAATAGGGCAGCATAGACAAGTTCCAGGCATTTGATGTGAATATCTTTTGGGGACCATTTTTTGGCCTAACACATTTATTCTTTATTATCATTTATTATACATTGTTGGTAATGAATATATAAAATCGATTGGGACTTCCCTGGTGGCGCAGCAGTTAAGATTCCACCTGCCAATGCAGGGGACACAGGTTCAAGCCCTGGTCCGGGAAGATCCCACATGCCGCCGAGCAACTAAGCCCGTGTGCCACAACTACTGAGACTGCGATCTAGGGCCCGCGAGCCACAACTACTAAGCCCGAGTGCCACAGCTACTGAAGCCCATGTGCCTAGAGCTCGTGCTCTGCAACAAGAGAAGCCCCTGCTCGCCACAACTAGAGAAAGCCCACGCGCAGCAACGAAGACCCAACGTTTCTTTGGTTTAATAAAAACAAAATTATTAAAAAAAAAAAAAGATTGATCTGCTGGCCAGGGCAGGCCAAGAGGATAGGATGCAGGATATAAAGTTTTGAATTTGGGTGTGGGGATGAGATAAGGAGGGAAAAATCTAGAGTGTCAACTTTTCTAGGGAAGGCCAGCTTGGGTGGGACAGCTCAGTGAGAGACCCTGGGTGGCTGGGAAGCAGCACAGAGGACTCTGGGCACATGGTGTGGAGGAGAGAGTATAGAAAGGGCAAGAAAGGGGTGGTGAGCTAAGATTTAACTTTTGTTTGTTTTTAATAAACTGAATGTGAGTGGTCCTAACCCTTAAAATCCTCTATATGTATAAGGAAATGAGCACTCTCAAACACTGCTGGTGAAACTGGTGGAGTTGGTAAAATCCTTTTGGAGAACAATTCTACATATATATCATGTACCTCCATCCAGTAATTCTAAGAAGTCTAGAACTCTATTTTAAGGAAATGATCAGAATACAGGAAGATTTATGCACAAAGACATTCCTTATGTCCTTTTTTTATGGTGCTCTTGAGTGTTTGTAAACAACTCAAATGTCTACCTTTAGAAAGTAATAGTTGAGTGAATTATGGTTCATCTATATGATGAAATATTTTATAGTCATAAAAGTATGTTTATGAAAAGTATACCATAACATGAAAAATGCTTTTATGTGAGATGTTGAGCAAAATAAGTAGGAATTATGAATACATACATACATACTTTACACAAATATTAATACTAAATTGATTCAAGATTTAAAAAAATATGTATATGTCACCTCTTTATATGTATATATACATATTGAACTCTCAGAAATTGTGCATAAATATTTAGGTGACATAACCACCTCTTAAAAAGCACAAACAGGGACTGCCCTGGTGGTACAGTGGTTGAGAATCCACCTGCCAATGCAGGGGACATGGGTTTAAGCCCTGGTCCAGGAAGATCCCACATGACGTGGAGCAACTAAGTCTGTGCACCATGACTACTGAGCCTGCGCTCTAGAGCCCGCGAGCCACAACTACTGAAGCCCGCACGCCTAGAGCCCGTGCTCCGCAACGAGAAGCCACCGCAGTGAGAAGCATGCAACGAAGAGTAGCCCCCACTTGCTGCAACTAGAGAAAGCCCGCGTGCAGCAACAAAGACCCGATGCAGCCAAAAGTAAGTAAATAAAATAAAATAAAGTTATTTATAAAAAAGCACAAACATCATATCGTTTATTTTTGTATTCATCTAGCTCAGTAAAATCTTGCCTCCTGAAGCTAAATATTTTTCCCTCTATGTTTATTTCAACTTTTGTTCCCAAGCAGTTAGGCTTAAAAATTTGTAGATGTATACAGTGTATCTGTGATACATGCTGAATTACTACAGGAACTGCAGCTATAAGTTGAACAAATATGGGTGAATGGGCTTGGTCCTAAAGGATGTAAGGGACTTTGACAGAACCAAATAGAGTGCCAGCACTGCCACTGGTCTTGGAGCTCATGGTACTTGGATTTTAGCACTGATACAGAAGAGACTTCTTAACAGAACTTTTTTGTTCATCAATCTAAAGTATTTAAAGTCAATTCATGGTGGAAATCCAATTAAAGGTCAATATAGAAAAATGTTCTTATACTGATATTTTAAAATATGGAGATACCTCAGAATAAGCAATAGTGATAGAGTTAACCAAGTACTTCCTGACCTTAAACAAATACAAATATATATATATATTTTCCTTAATAAAGAAACTTATTAAGCTGCCCTCTCAGCACAGCCAGCAGCACGTCAGTCTCCTATCTGAAGAAATTTATTGATATGGGAAAATGCTTACATAATAAGAGGGGTAAAAAATTGTATGTGCCAGATAACCTTAACCATACAAAAATAAATAGAAAAAAAGACTGGAAAAAATATACCACAATGTTAAGAGGGGTTATCCATAGCTACTGAGTCTTTTTAAAAGTTTTTTCTTATATTTCTAATCATTCTACGATGACATGTACTAATTTTAAAACCCAAAAGAAATTCTTTCAGAAGTGAAAGAATGGCCGATAGCAGGAAATGCTGCAGAGGGGCTAAGCATAGTGTGAATTGAAAAGGAGTCACAGAATTTGGGAACCAGAGGTGGTGTTTCAATAAATGGGGTATCAGACCCCAGGTATTGGGCTTGGATTACTGAGGCAGGCTTGGGTTGAACTGTAGCCCTGCTACTTCACATTTCGGTGACACTGGACACGTAAGTTCTCTAGGCGTCAGTTCCTTTGCTGCAAGCCCTGCTACTCCAGTGGGAAATGCTACCAGGCGTTCTAGTGGAGTTATCCATCTACTCGGCACCACGGTCACAGGGACAGAGTAGTATGTCCAAATGAGTGTGACCATCAGGGCAGCTTGCAATATGTAGAAAGCAACACTTATAACCCATTTTATCTTAGGCAACTGAGCTGTCCGTGCTTTCACGTGAGTTTTGAGCTTATCAGTCATCTTGTTGATCTTTCTCTCCAGCCTGGCGTATCTGGCAAACTCGTCCATCACGTTGACGGTGGAGAGCTCCTGCTTCATACCCTGGATCTCTGCTCGCATCTGAGACTCCTGCTCCACGTCCTTCTGCAGCACCCTGGACGTGAAGGAGGAGAAGGACGGGAGGAGGATCCTGACTACATTGCACCCAAACACGAAGCTGAGCACCAGCAGCCAAGCCCAGCAGTCAGCCTCTGCCGCGCTCATCTCGGAGGCTCACGGCGGCGCCAGCTCGGCTAAAACAGCTCCACCTGGGACCAAGCTGATGGCCGCGCGTGCGCAGTGAGCCCAGCGCCCCGCAGAGGCGCGCCGCCGCGCCTGCGCACTGTCTATTAATACTTAATAGTAATAATTATTACTTACATAATACTTAGATTTAGAACTCCCATACCCATTCCTGTCCCCATCTACCCCACTCTTTCCACTCTCATAGCTAACCATTTTATTAGTTTCTGATATATCCTTTCAGTGTTTCTTTATACAGATACAAGCAAAAATAAATATATATTTTATTTCTCCCCTTTCTTATACAAAAGGTAGCATAGTACTTATACACTATTTTGCATCTGGCTTTCTTCACCTAAGTACATCCTGAAAATACAGAGCTTTCTCATTCTTTCTTACAACTTCATATAGTATAACATTCAATTATATACTATAGTTTAAAAAATCTAATCCCTTATTGGTAGACACAAGTTTTTTTCCTGTCTTTTGCTATTACAAACAATGAGAAAATGTACATACATTATCCATAAAGTGCAGATATGTCCTTATCGTGAATAAATTTGCAGAAATGAAAATGTTGGCTCAAAGGGTAAATTCATTAAATCTTCATTCCACTTAGAGTTTTAACCTGCTGTATGGTGTGAGGAAGAGATGGAACTTTATCTTTTTCTATAGTATAGATACCTGGTTGTGTCAACACTATTCATGTAAAAAATAAAGTCCATCTTTACCCCACTGATTTGATTTTGTACTAATTTTCTGTATGTATTTGGTTCTATGATGGACTTTCTCTTTTGTCCCATTGGTCTGTCTACTCATGTTCCAGTGACTCGGTGTGTACTTCTAAAATTTTGCAAGTTTAGCTCTGCATGGTTTTATTAAGGAGGGTGCAGGTACTATAAGAAAAAGACCCAAGATTGTACACAAGTAGTTTAACAAGATAGAAGTTGGTTTCTCTTTTAGGTTAACAGAGTAGAGGTAAGTGGTCCAGGGCTGGTAAAGAAGCTCTGCCATGTCTGGGTCCAAGGTGGCTGCTTAATCTTTTGGCATCTCTTAGCCTGCAGATGGGGAAAAGGGCCAAAGGAAAGCATGAACTTTCCCTTTCAGTGTCACAATGTGGAAATGACTCACAATGATTTCCAGAACTTGGTCACTTGGCCACTCCAAGCCACAAGGGAGATGGGGAAATGTAGTCTCTTGCTGGATAGCCATCTACCTGGCTACAACTTAGGAGTTCTATTAGATAATAGGGGGAAATGGTCTTTACTACAATGGTGGCCTGATGCAAAGGACTCCAATGTTGAAGGTACTGGTGTTAGGGGAAGCACTGAATGAAACTGGCCAGCACCACACTAACCATTTGCATGAGTTATTTTATGACAGGAGGTCCTGATAAGGAACACGGAACTAACAAGCCACCACCAACCAGAAGAATTCGGGAAAGGTCAAAAGGAGACGCCAGTCCATATGTCCTACCAACCTCCCAGAATCCTCCTCGCTGGAATCCATCTTGGCTGAGTGATGCGCGCACTACCAGGAAGGACCCTGAGTCAGAACAATTGGCCAGAGACAATCCAGAAACTAATCCCATTACCATAAAACCCGAGACTGTGAGCCACATGGCAGAGCAGTCCTCCTGGGTTCCCTTACCCTGCTGCTCTCCGCCCGGGTGCCCCTACCCAATAAAGTCTCTTGCATGGTCAGCATGTGCCGCCTTGGACAATTCATTTCCAAGTGTTAGACAAGAGCTCACTCTTGGGCCCTGGAAGGGGTCCCCCTCCCTGCAACAGTGAGGCACTGTAACCTGAAGAATGGCATAAACTCTTCTCTCCAGGGGACTAATGCAAAGGTGTCTAGGGTTCATATAGGCTTTACCTTCCTGCCCTCACAATTTTGGTGTTTTTTCCCCTCAGAATCATATTTATTGTTTGTTAGAGCTCCTCTCTCTCTGTCTCTGTCTCTCTCTCTGTCTCTCTCTCTCTGTATGTGTTCTCATATGTGTGTGGGTTTTTTTTTCCTTTTACTTGTTCTTTTCTCATTGCTTTACTCACATGTCCTTGGAGATATCAATCTTTTTCTGAGGCAACTCTTGGGGCTTGTTAATGAATTAATTGGCAAAAAAAAGCCTCCCAGAGAACAAAAACAAGAACCTGTTTATACCTCTGAACTTCCTACATCCCTTTCCTTGTTATCCCACTTGAATGTGATAAAGAATGGATAGCTTAAGCGGCCCAAATAAGTGACCTTTTACATTTGAAGAAGATGAAGTTTGCATATGAAATGAGATCTGGGTTATAGAGACTGCTAAGCTAAAGGATAGGGATAAAGCCAAAAAGAAAAGATCCTAAAGCCTTAGGGAGACCATATTAACTAAACTGGAATGCTTTAGAGAGTGAAAGGAGGCACTAAAGCAATTCAGTATATATGAAATATTTACCTACTGATCAACAAATTGGCTTTATTATATTGGTAGGCTATAAAACAGTTCTGTTTAAAACTAATTTCAAAAATAAAATTCTTTCTAAAAATAAAAACAACATATATCACTGTACATTAAAGCAAAAAACACTTATATTGATTATCTGAACATTAAAAAATAACACAAGCAGAATTTTTTGGTATATATTCACATACCTTAATCAGTTTCTTAGCCACACCTGTCTCTAACAGCACGTTACCAATATTTTTCTGAAAACGTATTTTTTTCCAGTATGGTCGTAATGTTTTAAATCTTTTCATAAAATTGCCTGCAATTTGTTTCACAGTTGCATTTTATGGTTAATAAATTTGAAATTGCAAACATCTTCAATTGATTCTTCTCATCACAATGTTTTTAACTGAGAAAACACCCTCTACAGGAGAAGAAAAAAATTCTACTAAATGGAAAACATTCTCAATACTAATATTTTTATTAGAAAGTATATATACTTCAGCTCAAATATATTCACAGGTTCTGTCTTTTTGCCTCCACTCAGAGTACCTCTCCTTGACTAACATTTTTATAAGACAAAATGTTGTCCATTAAGTTATCTCTACTTTTTTTTTTTTTTTTTTTTTTTTTTTTTTTTTTTTTTTTTTT